GTAGGGTGTGGTAGAGGGAGAAGAGTAGAGGAGGGGGGGGGGGGGGGTGCAAGAGGGGGCAGGGGAACACAGTTACCCATTCCGGGCAAAATAGTGCCAAGTGGTTCGCCATAAAGATACCCGTAGTTTTAAGCAAAGGTACCCCCAAAAGGAATATCGTTTTGGGACCCTGGAAATCCTCCACCGGATGCTCCTTGACATCGATTTGGGTTTGCGCCTGGGCCAGGTAGGCCATCTGGGACATGTTTATACTTCGTTCATTGAGACTTTCTTCACAGCCATTTTTTAAATGCCAGTCTACGTATCACTCCCTCACAGCCCCGAAGACCCGAACCCACATGGGGGCCGCCAAAGACGTCTCGTGGAGGATACCGATCAGCTGTGAGCCGGCGAAGGTCGCGCTCCCGGCAGGTACCATGGTGCCGGCCCCAGCAAGCCTGAGTGAGAGACCGTTCAAGGATTTGCGAGAGTTTAAGGGTTGTAGGGTTTAAGGGTTTAGGGTTCAGGGTTTAGGGCTGACCCCTAATTCTTAATGGGGAATGAGGGGAATGAGGTACCCTATATCGTTGCCTTAATGGGTGTATGTAGAGGTATACTCTGCTAGTTGAAGGTTTTCGGGTTGTCGGGGTTTGGGGAGGGCTGCAGAATGCTAGGCCTAAATCCTATAAACCCATAAAACCCCTAAACCCTTAGCACCGCCCTGCAGGTGAACATCAAGCTGAACGCCGTCGTCTCAGAGAATTCGCGCGAGCCGTACAACCTTACCGACCTCACCGAGTGGTATTTCTGCCCAAATCGGCAGGCGGGCGCGCCCTAAACCCTAAACCCTAAACCCTAAACCCTGAAGCCCTCTAGGAAACTCCAAGAAGTTGGAGCATCCTTCCCCCATAGCCCCAAAAGGTGTCTAATCATCCTTAAGCTACCAGTTGCTTAAGAACCCCCCTCAAAAAATTATTCTTCCTTATTAAGGGGAATACAGGGATCATCGTTTTTTTTTTTTCATTCCCTTTGGGGTTCTTAAGCAAATGGTAGTAAACCATGTTCCAACTTTGTGGAGTTTACTGTATACCCCCCTCCCCCCCTTACCATTCCCAAAACGAGGCCTGAAAATCATCTCATCGCCCTTCTCTTTAGATGAAGCTCCATATTGATGATTAGAATTCTCGATGTTTTTGGGGGAGTAGGTTCTCCAGGAGTCTAAATTCCCCATGTGCCCGGCTGGGTGGTGCAGTTCCGGTTTCGGTGACCGATCGGCTAAATCCTAAAGCCCTAACCCTACAGCATGTTTAAGAAGTGTAGACACCCGGAAACCCATGGGACCTGAGCCTAAAACCCTAAAACCCTAAATCCTAAATCTTATAAACCCTAAACCCGAAACCCGAAACCCTAAACACTAAGCCCTAAACCCCAAACCCTAAACCCTCAGCCTCCAGGCCTGCCCCGGGGGAATCATCGAGGCAGGTCGCTGGCCCGGGGAGGCACCCCGAATTCAGGAGACGGGCCTTTCTTTGTTCCGTTCGCTTTCAGGAGGGTTTAGGGTTTAGGGTTTACGGTTCAGGGTTTAGGGTTTAGAGTTTAGAGTGCAGGGTTTAGGGTTCAGGGTGCAGGGTGTAGGGTTGAGGTATTTAGGGGGTCTGAGAGGGAGCATGTGGCGAGGAGGGAGGCCTAAACCACAAGCCCCAATCCCTCAACACATGCAACCACATTCAAGAACCCTAAACCCTAAACCCTAAACTCTAAACCCTAAACCCTAAACCCTAAACCCTAACTTGCCCCCTGTAAACCCTGAAGCCCTAACCGCAAAATTGGCTAGGACGCTGTACTTAGGTCAGGTCGCCGGGCCGTCTGTAGGTGTTCTTGGGGGCCGACAAGCGAAAGCACCGAGAACTGTCAGGATTCAGGGTAAACCTCCATCCCCCAAACCGCGAACCCTAAACCCTAAACCCTAAACCCTAAACCCTAAACCCTAAACCCTAAACCCTAAACCCTAAACCCTAAACCCCAAACCCTAAACCCTAAACCCTAAACCCTAAACCCTAAACCTTGAACCCTGAACCCTGAACCCTAGAATTCAGGACATGCCATGCCGGAAGGGATTTTGCGGGCGAGGGTGGCCTGACTTGCATTCAGTGCTTTTAGGGTTTAGGGTTTAGGGTGTAGGGTTTAGGGTTAGGGTTTAGGGTTTAGGGTGCATTGAATCTGCAGTTTTGGGTGTATAGGGTTAGAAGCCCCAACACCCAACACCCACTCCCTCCCCCCCTTCCCCCCTCCCCCCCCCCGACCGCCAGGCAAACCAAAGCAAATGCAAGACCCTGAGCCTCAAAACCCTCCAGCCCAGACCCCTAAACCTTAAACGCCCGACACCCCGACCCCTTACCTCTAACCCCCTAAACCCTGAAGGTCTTCCTTCAATCTTCGCCGTTTCTCGTTGAATCTCACTACACGCCCTGAAGCCAAAACCCTAATCTCATGATTCAGGGCTTGGGGAGGGCTCGGACTGCTGTGCAGGGTGCGGCTTAGCGTTTGGGTTAGGGTGTTTAGGGGTCTAGGGTTTAGGGTTTAAGGTCTAAAGAGCTTCCGCTTAGGATGTTTGTTGGGGGGGGGGGGGGGTTTGGGGTTTTGGGGGCCTCAGGTTTCTTAGTTGGTGTGGGCTTGGGGTTTCGGGTTCCAAGGGCTTAGGGTTTAGGGTTTGGGGTTCAGGGTTTAGGGTTTGGGGTTTGGGGTTTAGGGGTTAGGGTCTTGAAGCCAGGTGTGTTCACTGTGACAGCGGCAGTGGCTTCGCCCGGTCGGACAGCGACGTGCTGCACTGCATCAAGTGCGCAGACAAGGCCCCAGAATCCTTAAGCCCTTTTAGCCCTAAAGCCCTAAAGCCCTAAAGCCCTAAAGTCCTAAAGCCCTAAAGCCCTAAAGCCCTAAAGCCCTAAAGCCCTAAAGCCCTAAAGCCCTAAAGCCTAAGCAGTAACCCTAAACCCTAAACCCTAAACCCTAAACCCTAAACCCTAAACCCTAAACCCTAAACCCTAAGCCCGAATGGCCGGAAGCCCGAACCCGAAGCCCGAAACCGCACGCCAGGTGATGGTGTACATCCTCATGCGCCTGGCCAGGGACGTGGGCTTCTTCACCTTCGCAGCCGTCAGCGTCGTTGGGCTGGGTTTCGGGTTTCGAGTTCGCAGCCCAAAACCCAAAAACCCAACACCCAAAACCCTAAACCCTAAACCTTAAGCCTCAAACCTATCCCTAAACCCTAAACCTTATCCCCTAAATCCTAAACCTTAAGCCCTAAACCGCCTAGACATGAATTGGGCCCTAAACCCTATTCGGCTCTTAACCTCGGCCCAAAATACAAACCCTGCACCGCCGAACCCAAATCCCAAAACCCTAGACCCCAAAACATTCAACAAGATCCTCCAAACCCTTAACCCTGGATGCCCACATCTCATTTTGTGAGTATATACATGCTTATATATACACATACATGAAAGGTGGTGTTTTAGGAACGCCAGCGAACCCTCAACCCTAACAGCTAAGCCTTAAACCCTAACCCCTAACCCCTAAACCCCAACCCTCAGCCCTAAACCCTAAACCCCAACCACCAAGTCCTAAACCCTACACCCTACGGCCTGACCCCTGAGCCCTGAGCCCTGAACCCTGAACCCTAAACCCTAAACCCTAAACCCTAAACCCTAAACCCTAAACCCTAAACCCTAAACCCCAACACCCGAACCCGAAATCCAAGGTCGCCAAAGGCAGGCGCGATCGACCCCTGAGTCGCACCCTGCTGAACCAGCTCATGGCCTTCGCTGCTGTGTCCAACAGCGTGCTGCTCCCCGGTGTGGTTTAGGGTTTAGGGTTTAGGGTTTAGGGTTTGGGGTTTAGGGTTTAGGGTTTAGGGTTCAGGGTTTGGGGTTTGGGGTTTGGGGTTTCGGGTTTAGGGTTTGGGGTTTAGGGTTTAGGGGCCTCTAGAATTGTTTGCTGAAAGCTGCAGCCCGCCAGAAAGTCCCTTATCTCTTCAAATCCCAAGCCCTAAGCACCCGTAAAACCCGCCACATAGGGCCTTAGGGTTTACTAGGACCCAGATCGAGTAGGCTCTTATGCCTTTGTTAGGGTTTAGATTCCCTTACAAGCCCCCTGTAAACCAAAAAGGGCCCTTGTTTATTCCTAGGTTTCTCTTGGGTCAGGGTTTAGGGTTTGGAGTTTAGGGTTTAGGGTTTAGGGTTTAGGGTTTTTGGGTTCGGCCCTCATCTCAGCACCCTCAAAAGGCCTCGAAGCTAGGGTTGGAGCCCCATACGGGTAGTGTTGAGGGTCTAGGGTTTAGGGTTTAGGGCTAGGGTTTAGGGTTTAGGGTTTAGGGTTTAGGGTTTAGGGTTTAGGGTTTAGGGTTTAGGGTTTAGGGTTTATGGTTTTGGGTTTAGGGTTTATGGTTTAGGGTTTAGGGTTTAGGGTTTAGGGTTTAGGGTTTAGGGTTTAGGGTTTAGGGTTTAGGGTTTAGGGTTTAGGGTTTAGGGTTTAGGATTTAGGGTTTAGGGTTTAGGGTTTAGGGTTTAGGGTTTAGGGTTTAGGGCTTAAGCGGCGGAGGTGGTACAAGGCGGGGAGACAAGGAGGATTCCTGCCAGACTACCCCTCCCCTCACTATCCCTGGCGCGGATCACCTCCCCTCTGAAGTCTTGAACTTGTCAGACCACTTCATTGTTGAGATAAACCCTAAACCCTAAACCCTAAACACTGAACCCTAAACCTCAAATCCCTAACCCTAAACCACCCCCCCCCCCCCCAAAAAAAAAAAAAAAAATAAAAAAAATAATAAAATAAAAAAATACTTCGAACATCCCCACCCTCTCTTGGTAGAGATACTCTGGGGTTGGGCACTCCAGCGGCTGGGCACTCTGGGGACAATCTGGGGTTGGGCACTGGGCACTCCAAGGAGACTCTGGGACTGGGCACTCCGGGGACAGGCACTCTAGGGAGACTCTGGGGTGGGAGACTTGGGGCTGGGCACTCCGGGGACACTCTGCGGTTGCGCACCCTAGGGAGACTCTGAAATTGGGCCTCTGGGGTTCTCTTGGGGTTGGGCACTCCAGGGACACTCTAGAGTTGGGCACTCTGGGGACACTTGGGGGGTGGGCACTCCAGGGATGAGCGAGGAGTAGACCGGGCGAGGAGAAGAGTTCCGGGCGAGGAGAAGAGTTGACTTTAAAATCTAACAACCCCACACCGAGGTTGGGGAAAAAGGAACAAACAAGAGAAACTTTGAGGTCGGCGGTGTCGAAGACAGAGGCCATGGCGAAGCTGGCTCCCACGAGCTTCGCGGCTTGTGGTAAGGAGTTTTCGATCCCCAAGCCCTAAACCCTGAGCCCTAAGCCCTAAGCCCTAAGCCCTAAGCCCTAAGCCCTAAGCCCTAAGCCCTAAGCCCTAAGCCCTAAGCCCTAAGCCCCAAGCCCTAAGCCCTAAGCCCTAAGCCTTAAACCCTATCCCTACCCCCTAAGCCCTAAGCCCTAAACCTTAACCCCTATCCCTACCCCCTAAACCCTATTTCTGTTTGGGGCTTGGGGCTTGGGGCTCAAGATCTCCCCTAAGAGAAGGCTTTACTTGTTGCTTTTCCCAAGGCCATTTGTCAACCGAGGCTTGCTGTGGTTCTTCGTGGCGGAGGACGCTCCTGTGAGGTTCGGGAGCTTTCGGGTTTAGGGTTCAGTGTTCAGGGTTCAGGGTTTAGGGTTCAGGGTTTAGGGTTTAGGGTTCAGGGTTTTTAGGGGTTTTGGGCTTTAGAGGTTTCGGGTTATGATTAGGCTAGTGGTTCAAGGCTTGGGGCTTTTGGTTTTAGGGTTTTCGGGTTTAGTGCGGATGGATGGGGTTTAGGGTTTAGGGTTTAGGGTTGAGGGTTGAGGGTTGAGGGTTGAGGGTTGAGGGTTGAGGGTTGAGGGTTGAGGGTTGAGGGTTGAGGGTTGAGGGTTGAGGTTTAGGGGTTCGGGTGATGGTCGGGACTTGCGGTAGGCCTATGGGTTGGGATTTGGGAGCATCCATTTAGGGCTTCAGTTCGTGGTGGTACCCTATCCCCTTTAAGCCCTATCCCCTTCAAGCCCTAAACCCAAAACCCTAAACCCCAAACCCTATCTTTCACCCTAAACTCACCTCCCCTGGCTTGTGCCTGCCAGGAGAACGAGTCTCTGTCCGCAGAGTGCCTACTGCGCCACTTCGGCTACCCCCAGGCCAGGGAAACCAATCGTCAAGCCCAGAATAGGGCTTAGGGTTTAGGGTTTAGGGCTCAGGGATTAGTTTAGGGTTTAGGGTTACGGGTTTAGGGTTTAGGGTTTCGGGTTCCAGGTTTCCGCCTTACAGGTGGAATGCTTTCGGGGTTTCCGAACATAGGGGTACCCTTTTTGGGGGTCCCTTTAAGGGGATTCTCCTCTATTTCGGGGTAGAAGAGGGGTAGCCCTATTTTGGGAAAGACCCATATGGGTCAGGTGCCCGACAACTCCAAAATCCTAAAGGTTAAACACAACCTTAAACACCATATGGGCAGCTCTCTAAAATTGGGGTCCCTTTTGGGGGATCCCTTGAAAAAGGATATAGGGACCCAAGAAAGGGAACCCAACTTAGAGAACTCCCCAGGTTGGCGCTATTTTTTTCTTGTGGAACCGGGCCTAGGAGCTCTACCTGGTGCACTTGATGTCCTCGGTGCTTCCTGCAGTGTTGGTCGTCGCCGGGCTTGCGAGGAGGAATTCAGGGGTTGAATGCCCTAAACCCTAAACCCTAAACCCTAAACCCTAAACCCTAAACCCTAAACCCTAAACCCTAAACCCTAAACCCTAAACCCTAAACCCTAAACCCTAAACCCTAAACCTAACCCTAAACCCTAAACCCTAAACCCTAAACCCTAAACCCTAAACCCTAAACCCTAAACCCTAAACCCTAAACCCTAAACCCTAAACCCTAAACCCTAAACCCTAAACCCCAAACCCTGAACCCTGAACCCTAAACCCCAAACCTTAAGTCCGAAACCCTGAATGAAGGCCCATGTGCCCACCGACCCTAAACCCCAAGCCCCCGAAGCCCAAAGCCCAAACAGCACATTGGGGATGATCTAAATTCTGGGGCATACAAGGAATGAGCAAAACAATGGAGATCCCGAAGGGCGTGGGATACCTCATACTACCATACAAACCCCAAACCCCAAACCCCAAACCCCAAACCCCAAACCCCAAACCCCACACCCCAAACCCCAAACCCCAAACCCCAAACCCCAAACCCCAAACCCCAAACCCCAAACCCCAAACCCTAAACCCTAAGCCCTAAACCCTAAGCCCTAAGCCCTCTGAGCCGTCTTTTGGCTAGGAGGCCAGCAGGGGTAGGGTAGTACAGGATCCCGCAACCTCCCCACAAGCCTCACTCATTCTTGAGAATGATCGGGCCCACGGCAGGCTTGGAAGGTGCTGCCTCCAGTGTTTAGGGTTTAGGGTTTAGGGTTTAGGGGTATGAGTCTAAAACCCAAAGACTACACCCGAAAATCCTAGATAACAAACACGCGACTCCCTTATTGCACATAAGAAGCCCTGAACCCTTCTACGCCCTGAGCCTTTTGGCAAAACCAATCCTGCACCCTATGTACGAGCCTGAAGCCTATACCTAAATTACACACCCTTCTTCGCCCTAAGTACTAACCGCAACCCGCACAATCCCTAAACTCCTACCTAACCCCACCCCCCCGCCCGACACCCCACACAGCCCTAAATCCTGAACCCCAAACCCTAAACGCCATGCCCTTAACCCCAAACCCCAAACCCTAGACCCGAAACTGCTGTGCTTGGGTGAGACCAGGTCTCCCTGGCAGCGGTCAAGGCCGTCCTTTCACCTTTTGGGTTTAGGGTTCATGGGTTTAGGGTTTAGGATTTAGGATTTAGGATTTAGGATTTAGGGTTTAGGGTTTAGGGTTAGGGTATAGGGTAGGAGTATGGGAAGATGCGAGCCTGTGTTCTGATTTTTCTGGCCTCAGAGCATGCTTGCTATCGTGGCCCCACGAGACTGGGGAGCCAAGCTAAAATAGGGGGCGGACCAAGTACTAATAGTATTCCCTTATGGTCCCCATATATATGAATATATGTATATTCATTTATTTGTTTTTATTTATTTTCGAAGGACCCCCAAAACTCTATTCGAAGCATTAAGGCCCCCTTTTTTTACTTGGGGTTGAGAGAGGGAGGTGGTGCCTCAAACTCTCCTAAACCCGAAACTGTGAACCCTAAACCGTGAACCCTAAACCCCAAACCCTAAACCCCAAACCCTAAACCCTAAGCCCTAAGCCCCAAACCTAAACCCTGAACCCTAAACCCTAAACCCTAAACCCTGGCAGGGTGGCTGGCTGGCCGCCGTGGTGGGGACCAACGTCTTCCTCCCGAGCTTCTCTGCGGCCTTCGGGAAGTACTTGGTCTCTTATCGAGTCCGACCGGAAGCTTACCAGGCGAGGGTTTTCTTGAAGGCTTCTAGAGCTTTAGGGTGGTTTTCTGTAAGGTTTTGTGGGCTTTAGGGTGTTTGAAAGGAAAAGGTTTGGGGAGAGGGGCTCAGGGTGGTTCCGGAGGCTTTAGGCCTTTTGGGGCTTTTGGGGCTGTAGGTGCAGGGGAGGTTGTTCATTGATTGGCTGACGCTTGGATACCCTAAACCCTAAACCCTAAACCCTAAACCCTAAACCCTAAACCCTAAACCCTAAACCCTAAACCCTGGTGCACGGAAGGATTATCAACTTGGCTTCCTACCTCCCCTTGGTCTACAGCCACACACCACGGTGGCCGTGATCGCGTCGGCCATCACCTGCTGCTTCTTGATAGGTCCAGGAAGCTGGATCTACGCAGCAACCCAGCTGGGTCTCAAGCTTCTTATGGTTTGGGACCCCACACCCTAAACCCTAAACCCTAAACCCTCAACCCTGAACCCTAAACTCTCAACCCTCAACCCTCAACCCTCAGCCCAAAACCCAAAACCCAAAACCCTAAACCCTAGTGCAGCGCAGGCTTCGCAGGCGTTGGTCTCTGCTTCATGTCTACTTTCAGCTCAGGTGCTGCGAAGAAGACACCACTGGAAGGACCCACCTCATGTTCGCTACCTGATGAGCGAGTATAGGACGGGCTGCTCCGCCTGGGAGGCCGGGAAGCAATCAAGCCCCAGTTTTGAGCAAAAGCCAAAAAAAGGTTTAGGGTTTAGGGTTTAGGGTTTAGGGTTTAGGGTTTAGGGTTTAGGGTTTAGGGTTTAGGGTTTAGGGTTTAGGGTTTGGGGTTTAGGGGGTGGGGGGTGGGGGGGGATCCAAAGGTCCTTCTTCGAATTGGGCCTCCGTGGGTTTGCGACGGACACAGAGGGCTGTTTTGGCGACAGGTCTTTGGATCAACTGCCGTGTGCATCTAGTGAATTTCTGTGGCTTGGGTTTGTGATTTGGGTTGTAGGGGTTTAGGGTTGAGCGTGCACGCCCTCAACCCTTGACCCTTATCTCCTTCCAGTGAGACAGGCCACCCTGAGCCCGAAGCCCTAAACCCCCTAACCCCTGTCATACCCTCACCCCTAAGCCCTCGAGCCCAACAATAATGGCCCCAAACCCTCCATTCGGCAACCCGAACCCCAAACCCCTCAACCCCAAACCCTCAAACCCTAAACCCCAAAACCCTAAACCCTAAACCCTAAACCCCAAACCCCTAACACCTAAACCCCAAACCCCTAGACCCTGAAGGTCGAGCGCTTGGTTCGGAAGATGCTGCTTTCCCTGATCACGGCCCTGGTGCCCGTGTCGTACAGCCCAGTGGCTTGGTGGGCTTCGGGTTGAAGGTTTAGGGTTTAGGGTTTACTGTAGGGTTTAGGGTTTAGGGTTTAGGGCTTAGGGCTTAGGGCTTAGGGCTTAGGGCTTAGGGCTTAGGGCTTAGGGCTTAGGGTTGAAGTCTTAGGGTTGATCTTGCCTTCAGGAATTCGAGTTGAGGGTTTGAGGGTTTTGGATCTAGGATTAAGGGCTTCGGGGTGTAGGATGTAGGGGCTTTGGAAGATTTCAGTGGTCTAGCTTTTTCTTGTTGAAGGCTTCAGGGTTTGGGGTTCTGGTGTAGGCTTTAGTATTGATGCTGAGTTGGGGGCAATGAGATAAAACCCTGAACCCGGGACCCAAACCCTAAACCTTTTCTGCCCCAGAGAACTCCGTCCACAAGTTGGGAGGGGGGGGGGGGTGTGCTTAGGATTTTGATGGTGTGCGGTTTAAGTGTAATTATTGTTGAAGGATAAGGGTGTCCGAGAATTGGGGTTTAGGGTGTTAGAGGTTTCGGGGTGTAGGGCTTTAGCGGGTGCAGGGTCTTGGGGTTTAAGGGTTCAGGGCTTTTGGCTTTGATGTTGTCATGGTTCGCATGCACGCCTGCATTCGATTCGAGTGACGTTCCTCAGGCATTTATCTAAGCACAAGGATCTTCTAGGCTTAACCCTAAACACTTAACTCGGGATGTTCCCCCTTTACTAACAGTCCTTAATAGGGATTATAATGGGAGGGGTACGACATTCCCCATTAAGGACTGTTAGTTTACGGGGGAACATCTCAACTTTAGACTCAAGACCCCAAGCCCGACAAACCCTGTACCCGTTAAACCCAAAAACCTAAACGGAACCCGCACGCCTCAAGCCGTACTGCAGACCTGTACCCTTTGCTCTTGCTGTTCGTCCGATTCCTACACACTCTTAAACCCTCAACCCTCACCCCTCACCCCTCACCCCTCACCCCTCACCCCTCACCCCTCACCCCTCACCCCTCACCCCTCACCCCTCACCCCTCACCCCTCACCCCTCAACCCTCAACCCTCAACCCTCAACCCTCAACCCTCAACCCTCAACCCTCAACCCTCAACCCTCAACCCTCAACCCTCAACCCTCAACCCTCAACCCTCAACCCTCAACCCTCAACCCTCAACCCTCACCCCTCAACCCTCAACCCTCAACCCTCAACCCTCAACCCTCAACCCTCAACCCTCAACCCTCAACCCTCCCCTCAACCCTCAACCCTCAACCCTCAACCCCCCCCCCCCCCCCCCAAAGTCGACCGAGGCAGCTCAAATGTGGATGGTGAGCTTGGTCTTGCTGTCTTCCACTGCTCTCTACCACTGGTTCTCGCCCTACAAGGAGGGGTTGAGGGTTTAGCAGCCCTAAGCCCCGAAACCCTAAACCCTAAACCCTAATCCTGTTGTCCTGAACACAGAGCTGTGCTATGAGCTGTGCTATGAGCACGTCACATCACAGAATGGGTGAAACTTCGTGCTTCAATGCCTGACTCCACGCCCCAGTGAGTGTTCCGTTGGATTTTATGAAGCACATGAACACTCTGGGGGCCCGCCTCCCGGCAATTCCTTAGGCCCCTGATATCTGTACAGGTTTCAGGATTTTATATGAGGGAGTTAGGGGAGGGGGGGGGGGAGTTCGGGATTCCGGGATTCAGGGCTTGGTGCTCCGGATCTTGGGCTTCGTGTTTGCCAGGGTTCAAGGCCTTAGGTTTCGAGCTTACAAGAGCCAGTCCTTACGGACAAATTTGTCCACGCAGGGGTGTGCGCCCCACCCCCCCCCCCCCCCCCCCCCCCAAAGTTCTACGGTTCAAAGTTCTAGGTTCCAAAAGCTCGAACAGTTCGAGCATGATTTCAAGAAGTTCTAGAAGTTCTGGAACTTCTAGAAGCTCTGAAATGTCTGAAGTTCGAAAATCTCTAGAAGTTCTAGAAGTTCTGAAAGTTCCAAAAGATCTGGAAGAAGTTCTAAAGGTAGCCCCAAAACACCGACAACACGCAGGAATCCACCCAAAAAGCCCCCATGCGCCAAGCGGAACAATCGCGGCCTAAAGTCGAACCTCCCCCACCCCCCCCCCCATGCCCCAACCTGAAACCTAATCTGAAAACCCCTAAACCTGAACCCTAAACCCTGAACCCTGAACCCTAAACCCTGAACCCTAAACCCTAAACCCTAGGACCCCAACCGGAACCACTTCGAGTTCGCGCTCTTGCTGGCCGCCCTGGCCCGGGGCTTCGGGACAAATCTTTTCGGGATGCAGGGCTTGCCAGGGTTCAGCGGTTTAGGGGTGTTTAGGGTTTTAGGGGTTTAGGGGTTTAGGGGTTTAGGGGTGTTTATGGTTTTAGGGGCTAGGGGTTTAGGGGTTTAGGGATTTAGGGGTTTGGGGGTTTGGGGGTTTTGGGGTTTAGGGGTTTAGAGGTTTAGGGGTTTAGGGTTTAGGGGTTTAGGGGTTTAGCGGTTTAGGGGTATAGGGGTTTGGGGGTTTGGGGGTTTAGGGGTTTAGGGGTTTAGGGGTTTAGGGGTTTAGGGGTTGAGGGGTTTGGGGGTTTAGGGGTTTAGGGGCTTGGGGGTGTAGGGGTTTAGGGGCTTGGGGGTTTGGGGGTTTGGGGGTTTGGGGGTTTTGGGTTTAGGGGTTTGAGGTTTAGGGGTTTAGGGGTTTTGCGATTTAGGGGTTTAGGGGTTTAGGGTTTTGGGGGTTTGGGGGTTTGGGGGTTTGGGGGTTTAAGAGTTTAGGGTCGAAGGGTCCAGAAGTTTAGGGTTTAGGGGTTTAGGGTGGGGTCTGGGATGGGGTTTAGGGGTCTAGGTTTCGGCTGGGGTGCTAGAGTTTAGGACTTACTGTGGGGTCTGAAAGTTTAGGGTTTGGGGGAAACCAAAATCCCTAAACCCGAAACGCTAAACCCCTAAACCCTCGTTTTTGTTGCCTCTAGGGCTGGAACGTTGCCAAGGTTTCAGGCCTAAGCCCTAACCCCCCTTTCGGGCCGCCCCCTGCCCGCCCCTTTCGACCCCGCCCCTTTCGACCGACCCCCTTTTCCTTCTGCCACCCCTGCCCCCGGCCCCCTGCAAAAGTGGGGTGAATCGTCCAAAGCCGAAACCCTAAACCCTAAAACTCTAGGCCAAAGCCCTTCTTGAGGCCATGATCGGGCTTACCTCTCTCCTCCTCACAAACGACCTGGATTGGGCCAGCAGCCTCTACACGGAGCTGCATCTCGAAGCCGAAGTTAGAAGCTTTGGGGGGTTCGTGGTTTCTCTAAACCCCTAAAACCCTTAAACGCTGAACCGGACAGCCCTTGAACCCTCAACCCGGCTAGGGGGTTTAGGGTTTAGGGTTTAGGGTTTGGGGTTTAGGGTTTAGGGTTTAGGGTTTAGGGTTTAGGGTTTAGGGTTTAGGGTTGTTTGTTTTAGGGCTTGGGCTTTGGAGTCTGGGGATGTAGGCTAGGGTGTGGTGCACCGAAAGTGCGCGTTCAGAACGCCCTAAACCCGACGCCTTGAACCCGAAACCCTAAACCTTAAACCCTGAACTCGAAACCCTAAACCTTAAGCCCTAAACCCTATGTTTGTGCATCTGGCGCAAGCCCCAGGGCCCAAACCCCGAAACCTTAGAGCCTTTGTCTGGGCTTGCCGGCTTAAGGGCCCGCGATACCCTAAACCCTATAAACGCTCAACCCTAAACCCTAAACCCTCAACCCTCAACCCTCAACCCTAAACCCTAAACCCTAAACCCTAAACCGTAAACCGTAAACCCTAACCCCACACCCCCTGAACCCCTAGCAGCCCTGGAAGCCCTGAAGCTTCAACTCTGGGATGTTCCCCCTTCAACTCACCGTCCCTGATAGGGATTCTAGTACCGCCTATTGAAGTACAGTCATTGATAGGGATTCTAGTACTGCCCCTAGTATAATCCCCTTATTAAGGAGCTCTTAGTAAAAGGGGGGACATCCCAGCCTAAACTTTAAGACCTAGACATCAGGTGCCTGATTGGCGCAATCTGCACGCTGGCCTTTGCTGCCTGTCTGCATGCTTTGGGCGGGATGTTCGGGGGGTTTAGGGTTTAGGGTTTAGGGTTTAGGGTTTAGGGTTTCGGGTTTAGGGTTTAGGGTTTCGGGTTGGTGTAGGATTTGTGTAGGGTCTATGTAGGGCCCCAAGACCACCTCGAGTGGGTCCCTGTGGGCATGGGCTCTTGTGAATTCTGAAAGCGGTTCCTTAACACCACGGCTGTGAGAATCAAGCCTTCCCTTTAGCATCCTGATCCGAAACATTTCCTTACTAGTTCTTGGGAGTTCAGAAATGGTACTGTACCTTATCCCCCCCACCCCCATACAGCCCCTTCAAGGGATCATCGAGGGGGCACTGAACCCAAAACTCTAAGGGTTTCATTGAATTTCGCGGGCTAAGTCCAAAATCTTCGTGGGCAAAGCGCAAATCTTCGTGGGCAAGGCGAATCTACATGGGCAAGGCGCAAATCTTCGCGGGCAAGGCACAAATCTCCGTGGACAAGGCACAAATCTTCGTCTGCAAGGCACAAAGGCACGAAAATTCGTGGGCAAGGCACAAAAATCCGTTGGCAAGGCGGCAAGGCAGAACAATTCGTGGGCAAGCCCCGTTTTGGTGTTTTGGGCGCAGGAATTGGTGTGCCTCCAAGACGTGTGGTGAAGGGCCCAGGGAATGGAGCCTGAGGATTATGGATTGTTTGAACTTTACATTTTCTTAATATTATGGGACTCTTTGGGCGGGTGGGTATTTTCCTGTCGCCTGAAAAGCTGCTTGACCAAAGCTGGAACATGAGATGCTGAACCCTGAACCCTAAACCCGGCCTAAACCCTAAACCCTAAACCCTAAACCCTAAACCCTAAACCCTAAACCCTAAACCCTAAACCCTAAACCCTAAGCCCTAAGCCCTAAACCCTAAACCCTAAACCCTAAACCCTAAACCCTAAACCCTAAACCCTAAACCCTAAACCCTAAACCCTAAACCCTAAACCCTAAACCCTGACCCTGAACCCTGAACCCTGAACCCTGAACCCTGAACCCTGAACCCTGAACCCTGAACCCTGAACCCTGAACCCTAAACCTTAAACCCTAAACCCTAAACCCTAAACCCTAAACCCTAAACCCTAAACCCTAAACCCTAAACCCTAAACCCTAAACCCCAATTTTGAGGGCATCATCACCTTCATGATGATCTTCCTGGCCTGGGCCTTCTACAAGGAGCTTTTGGAGTGGAAGGCAGGTCCGAGGTTGGACCTCAACCTTTCGTTAAAGGTCTAGGGTTTCGGGTTTCGGGTTTAGGGTTTAGGGTTTAGGATTTAGGGTTTAGGGTTTAGGGTTTAGGGTTTAGGGTTTGGGGTTAGGGTTTGGGGCTTAGAGTCCAGGGCTCAAGGTTTAGGGTCCAGGGTTCAGGGTTTCCTAGGTTGGCTTTTGGGATGTTTTCGAAATTTCCTTACTTGGGTTTATAAGGGGGCCCTTTATACAATTGTTTTTCAAAGGGTTGAAGCTTCTAGAAACCCCGAAGCCCCTAAAGACCTACAAGCCTTAAAGCCCTAAGCAGCAACTCTGAACCCCCTTTTAACAGAGCTCCGACTCAGAAAAGCCCTATGTTTAGGGTTTAGGGTTTAGGGTTTAGGGTTTAGGGTTTAGGGTTTAGGGTTTAGGGTTTAGGATTTAGGGTTTAGGGTTTGGGGTTTGGGGTTTGGGGTCGAAGTGTCACAATGTTCAGGTACCTCCTACTACGCACGATAGCCGCAGTACCCAAACCTGAAGTGTCGAGGGTTCGGGAACAACCCTAAACCCTGAACCCTAAACCCTATTTCCCTGAACCCAAGTATCCTACTCCCGTATGCTCTGAAGTAAACTACACCCAAAGCACGAAATCCCAGTCCCCCAGCCCTAGGCCCGTTGAAGTTTAAGGTGGTATAGTCAGTAAGGCTTGAAGTTGGACATCTTCTCGAGTCTGAACCCAAACCAGAAAAAACATCTCATTCCGAATATGCCCGAGCCCTAAACCCTTAAACCCACAGACCCTACATTGCCAAACCCCGAAGCCCCCTAAACCTCAAACCTCAAACCTCAAACCCTAAACCGTAAACCCTAAACCCTAAACCCTAAACCCTAAGCCCTAAGCCCTAAACCCTAAACTCTAAACCCTAAACCCTAAACCCTAAACCCCAAACCCTAAACCCCCTAAAGCCGTAAGACCTCTGCTCAGAGGTGTGGCTGTACTCGGGACTGGGCTTGACCATCTCTGGCCGCATTGCCTTTCCGGGTCGGGTCCACGAAGAGTCCAGCGACTGCGTCGTATCGTTCCCCGGAAGCTCGGCCCTTCTACGTCCTGTTGTTTCAGCTGGGCTACAGTAGTTCTAGAGATAGATGTACAGATTGTCTGTGTTTGTGCGTATATATATATATATATGTGTATGTACCTTAATATGTACATATATGTATGTACCCTATATGTATTGTGAGCAGGTCTAAGCACGCACGTTGCATGTGCAGAGCTGCCAGGACCAGTACTGTAGTCTTCTTTGCATGTGTAGGTTTGCAATTCGTTTCAATGCCAATTTTGGCTCAAGTACCGAGCTTGTGCCTTTGAGCACGGTAGAGTCGTACAGTAGCTCTTAGGTTGCTGTGCGGTCCGACCGGACGCACTCAGGCGTAGCTGCACAAGTGCTTGAACTCGCGAAGTCGTAAAACAGCGTGACCGGGCTGTGATTGCATTGGCTTAGTGCAAGTCCAGTGCTGGTCGACTTCACAATTGGGGGCTGTTCTGGGAAACGTACAGCTCTTGTGCCTACGGCCCGAGTGTGCAAGCATTGCTTTGCTTGTCTGTCGCGGTCCGTGACCTGGACGCGTGGACTGTGTGCCACGCTTGCGGCCTGTTAACCAAGGCGCGGCGCTTCGCGTGCCACGCCTGCGGCCTGCTAACCAAGGCGCGGCTCTTCGCCTTGTGTTGCGGCAATGTCCGCAGAGGTTGCAGGTCAGGCTGAGGGCGTCACCCTCCTCGAAGCTATCGAGGGTGGAGACGTTCCCTATCCCGAGCGGATGAGCTACGTCGCTTGGCTTAAGTGGCGTAGGGAGACTGGCAGCCGTCCGTTGTCCAAGCGGGATGGGGTCAGCACTACGCCAGAGCAAGAGGCGGCTCTCTGGCGGAAAGTCATGAAGTTCCTCCATGACGCCGAAGACGAGGACGAGGATGAGGAGGAAGAAGAAGAGGACTCCGAGCTAGTCCCTGAGGCCTCGGGCGCTGGAGGCGACAGTCCGCCGCGGGCGGACGTCAGCGCCGCGGCTAGGGAGCTGGCCATGGTCCCTACCGGTGCTGCCTATGTCCCTGCTACGGCACCAGGGTCCCGCCCGGCGGGACCGTCCGGTCCGCCGTCGACAGCAGGTTCAGTGCCAGGCACCGCAGAGGGCTTGCAGGCGGAGCTGCGCGCGATTTTCCGTCCAGACCAAGAACCGGTCGCGGACTACTTGACGCGCGTTTCGCGGATTGTCCTCGCGCTGAAAGCGCATGGAGTCACGGTGAGCTCCCGTGACCTTGACGCCTTAAGCACCAAAGCCACCCTCCTTGCGGATGAGTTCTCCAAGATAGGCGGGGACTGGCATCCGACAAAGATGGTCCGTCGGCTGCGGACCAGATTCTCGGTCGCGGCTTTGCGCGGTGGCGAGGACCCCGAAGACGCAGAGGAGATTCAGCGCGAAATCCAATGCATCGGGGAGCTTATCCTCGCGTTGGGGGGAAAAGAAAGCTCGAGCCAAGAGAAGGTTTGGAGCTCCCCGTCCGATGTGCCAGTTGAAGCCGTGGGGCCGCGTTCCCCAGGGCTCCCACAGCCTGCGACTGCAAGTGGGTTGGGGGTAGGATTGGACCGTGGAGGTTTGCACACTGCGGAGGTTGCAGGTGGTCCTTCCGCGGCCCGTGTCCTGGGCGCGACGGACGGCGATTCCCCTTTGCGCGCGAAGCTTGCTGCGCTGGAAATGGAGATAGAAGCCCTGAAGCGAGGTTCAGACGGCGGAGGTTCGCAGACCGGGTCCCAAAACCCGGCGGGCGATTTCGCCGCCGCACTCGCCGCCCAAACTGAAGCGCTGAAAGAAGCGTTAGCGCAGAGGGGCGGGCAAAGCTCCATAACTACGGTCAAAACTGACCTCACGTGGCCGACGCTGACCGACGACAAGTCGGACGCGCGAGACGTTGTCTTGTTCTACGAGGAGTTTGAGGACGTCTGCGCGCTGGCCAACAACTGTCGCGGTATGAGTGCGCGCGAGAAGCTGCTAGCGCTACGCGGGCGCTGCCGCGGCTCGCGCATGAAGACGTACACGAACGCGTACCGCGCGGCGTGGAAGTCGGGAGAGGTTCTCTCCGATCCACAGGCGGTGTACGACCGCATCAAGAACAAGCACTTGATGTTCGGGGAATCGCGGGAGGAAAGAGAAGTCCGCGTGGATGGTGAGCATGCCTCCCTCGCTAAGGGTAAGCTCACAGGCCACCAATTCGAGCCTTTGTTTGAGGCATCGATCGCGGACCTTGAGGCGGTGGGTCTTGGGAAGACCCCACGAGAGTTGTATCTCTCGTACCTCCGCAAGATGCCCCCGTATCTCCAAAAGGAGATACGTAACGACAAGCGGTTGTGGCCCGGCGATCCCAAGGATGGCGGGCTGCGAGGGCCGCAGACTTGGGAGGAGAGCCACAAGGTCGTCTTGGAGTACGAACAGAGGGAAGCAGCTCACCGGGCTGTTTCCCACTCTGTGTACTCAGCGACCGGCTCTCCGAGCGCGGACCCGTCGGTCGCGCTAGCCGAGGCTCAGAAGGAGATTAAGAGCCTCAAGGCCGCCGCCAAGGCTGCTGCGAAAGGAGCAGCTGCCGCGGCCAAAGCTGGCGCGGACCAGACGTTTGCCGCTGCGTCGAAGGGAGCTGGCAAAGGAGCGGACAAGAAGATCTGCTTCCACTTTCGCGACCACGGGAATTGCCCGAAAGGGGACGCCTGCCCGTACAGCCACGACAAGGAGCTTCGCAGAAAAGCTCTCGCGGCCAAGAAGGGTGACCAAACCTTTGCCACGGCGAAAGGTAAGGGCAAGGGGAAGGGAGGTGGCAAGGCAAAGGCCAACGCAAAGCCTAAGGCTGCGGCCAAAGGCGCGGCAAAGCCACCAGGCACTGTTTGCCCCTTTTTCTCCAAGAATGGGTCGTGCAAGAAAGGAGCCAGCTGCGACATGGTCCACAACCTGACGACCTCAGGAGGGACGCCGGCCTTGCCTGCCAACTGGGCCCCGCCCTCCGGTGCTTCCATGTCTAACCCCTTCGCCGCGTTCAGTGTCCAGATAGGCAGCTCAGGCGTCCAGGCAGGCGTCTCAGGAGCCGCAGGACGCGCCGCGGTGCAGCAGCACGCGCTTCCGTTGAGCAAGGGCGGGCGGGACAAGTTCGCCACCCTGGACGATCTGCCGAAGGACTGGTGGAGCCTGGCAGACAACGAGCCAGGAGGCTACCAGTACAGGACGGTAGTCCAGGTGCTCGACCGTAAGGTCGAGTGCATGCTCGACGGATGCGCCGGCGCAAACCACGTGACAGAGGAACTCGTGGTGGGCATGATGAACCGGGCTGCAGAGCTGGGGATCGGCACCGAAGATCCCGGCTTCCCGGTCGTGAGACTCGAAAAGTGGGTCCACCCCGAATACGTGCATGGCATTGCTTCGGGAGCCCCCGTTCCTCTGAAGGGGGCAGCAGTCTTGCGCGTCACGCTGCTGGAAGGCAGGACGGCGGACGACTGTCGCCCCAACACTGAAATTTTCGTGCGATGCAAAATCGCAGCCAGGGGGACGTCCGATTGGCACGGACTGATCCTCGGCGGCAGAGCGTTGGACTGCGCCGGAAGGATGGGCCTGGGTTTCAGGCCGGGTCCCGACTTTCACGTCCTCGACACGCTGGGAATCAGGATGCCCAGATGTGAGGATCACAGCAAGACCCGGAAGGACAGGGCCTATGCCTTTGAAGCGCGGTTGTCAAGCCTGGACGACGCGTCATGCACCGAGCCTGGGGGCGGAAGTCGTGAGCTTCTCCGCTATGACGGGGAAGAGCCGCTCGAGCTCTCGCCAGGTGATGGGGTGCTGGTGCCAGTCGTGCGGGAGACAGGAGTCTCCGCAGAGGGATCCCTGTCCGAAGTTGTGCTTCCGGTTGAGTGTGGGGTTGAGGCTGTGCCAGGTCTCTGGCCCACAGGAGAGGGTAAGGGGTTTGTTTTGCTTGC